CCAGTTTTTTTCATCCTTCTCATTCTCTGGCTATTGCCTCCTCTGGTCTTTCATTCTGACGATACAAACGATCCCTCGTTTCTGCCCAGATGGTCAGAAGGCACTTCGCATGAGTTAAGAGCTTTAACACGCAGATACTTGTGCCCTTAGTATGGTCTCAGCATAACCTGGAACTGCACCCTTAGATGTCTATAAACATTGTCCTTCTTTCTCTACTGCGGATAAACCTTCTAGGTCTGCTTATAACTTTCCTTTTCTCTCTCCGAGTCTACCTTCAGTTTCTCTTTTCTACACTGCACGTGCACGTATCTCTCACTCTCTCTCACAGAGTTTGTGTTCAGTTTTTTAGGATTTAAATTTCGCTCAGGCTTCTCAGGGTTGTTTAGGTTCCCATATGAACAGCGTGCTTCGTGTGGAGGCCTGCGTTGCAACTAAGTGCCGTTTAGTGCCTACACAACTGTATTTCCTTCTTCCTGCAGAAATTCTGCTACAATTCAAGGATTTTTACCTTGTAATCCTCTACGTGGCTCATCGCAAAGTAAGGCGGGAAAGCAGGAAATATAATCAACCAAAAGACAAGGTAGTTCATGATAAAATTATTCCAGAATATTACTCCATGTTTCTGCAGCGGAGTAAAAAGAAGATATTTAAAGAAAACCAGCACTGTAACAGCCTAAATCCATCTGGATATCACAACTGAATGCATAAAGTTATTAGGGCTGTGCGAAGCTTTGGTCCCTGATTCGATTTGGTGTAGATTTGGCCTGATTCAGTGGCCGAATCGCCGAATCTGAATTGAATCAGAGGACCCTTTAATCTCTCCGAATTGAATCAGAACCCTCTGAATTGATTTGGAGAGATTCAGAAAGATTCGGCAATTCGGACATAGACCCAGCTTTAAATGTTTTTTCTACATACCTCTAGGTAGCAGGGGCTTGTGAGTGCTGCGATGTGGGGGGCATGGAGCATCCCACAGAAGCACGGGGGACTCTCCTGTGTGCTTGGCAGCAGACCCAGAAGTGGACCAGAAGCACTTCCAGTCCACTTCCAGGTCCACTGGGGAGCATGCTGGGGGCCCCCCATACCTCCCCCCTGGCTCAGCAACTGCTGCCATCTGGGTCTGGGGGGCGCCTAGGGCCCCCCGTGGCCGATTGCTGATCCGGAAGTGTGTGTGGGGGCCCCCAGTGTGCTCCCTGAAGCCAATTGTGCTAGTTGTGTGAAGCCCACTAACAGCACTAGTACCATGAATACCGCTGATGAAATCGGCTGATGCATATTTATAAAAAATAAAAACCCTAGCTCCTTTCTATTTAAAACTGATTACAATTTGAGCCGTTAGACACTCTCTTTAAACCAGCATTTCTGACAGGGAAGTTAAGACACTTACAAAAAAAAAAGGATGGTTCCAGATTCGGATATGCTCAGTGGAATTTAAGGTTCCCAGCAGCGCATTGCTAATGATGTTCACAAGCATGGGGAAGCAGTTGATTACCTCCGTGTGGCACATTATCGTAAACCTGTAGCTCTTAAAAAAAAACAGGATGACAAACTCAAGTGTGTTTCATAGCTCAGCAAGTATCAGGAAACAACAAGCTATAGTTCATGTTCTAGGTCCTAGAACAAGATGAATAGGAAGGTGATCTAGAACCTGTCAGGAGCCTAGAACGTAGTTGGAGCTGCTAAAAATCAAACAATGAGGTGTCAGTATGCATGACTGAATTTAGTTCAGCCTTGCCTTATTTAAATAATCCCAGTGTCTGGATCACTTTGGACCTGTGTTACACAAAGTCCAACCTTGAGACCCTGCTTGGCTGAGAGGTAGGCAACGTCTTCAGCAAAGATGTTTTGCTTGGACCATCTTGTAGACATACAGTGTGTATCTTTATCTCCAAATACAGCTTGCAAATGCAAGCTAGTATTCAACATTTCAGGAGCAGCAGACCCACGCTACTTATTTTAAACAGTGTTTTCATGCAGAATTTAAGAGGATTCAGTAGGTGTCTTATGCCAGTTGCAAAATATAAGTGGTTGTCAACGGGCAGCTGAAATGGCTTGCACTCTACCTGGTCCTCACGAGATACTTTTATAGCCCCATTGTGTATTAACTCCTCTGTGATATTTTTTCCAGTAGTTACATCCAACATTATTTTCTGTTTCTCTACAGCGTGGACAAAGTTCTCAATGCTGGAGCCTGGTAGAAAAGTAAAAACAGACAAATCACCATGTTTGAAGCTGTTTTACAACAAAGTCATCCCTGGGGGCTTTGTTGATATTACTGCCTTCCAAACAAGACCAGAAAAAGCATAGAATAAATACTAGGCTGTCCAAGCAACATTTATTTAATCATTCGTTGCATTTTTGCATAAGTTGCCATCCTTAAATATTGCCGTCATTAACTGCCTCACTCCCACGTTTGTTGTCTGCATATTTAACTGTCTTGCTGCACTAAACTGCTGATAATCTCTTGATTCTTGATTTCGGTGGACTTTTGCAGTACCATCCAGTGTTGAGTTTCCTCCTATATATCTGAACATTTCTTCAGAATTCGTCCCAGCAGGTCCTTATCTTTTCCCCCACTGTCCATAGAGGCTTCCAGCCCTTTGTTCATCTCACTTCACACTGTCTGAAGGCAACTACCTCCACCTCAAACATGTTCAGATATCTTTTTATAGGGAATCCAGGTCTGTGATGATAAACCAGGATCAAAACACTACTTCATCCAATTCCACGTGTCTCTCTCATCAGCTTAATCTAATAGTGATAAAAACAGCACGCCCTCTTTCCTCTTCTAAGCCATCTCCACTTCTCCTCTTACTCCTGATGGTAATAGTCATCCTCCCCAATACAGATGACGTGGGAAGGTTGGGTGATCTTTTTCACTCCTTTTGGCCCACACATCCTGGCCATGTACAAATCCTATTTCCACTCTCTTATCATCATCCCAAGAATCTGTTTCTTTCAGTCCCCACAGTCAGAACTCTCATTTATGGGATTTCATAGATTTCATAGACGTTGGGGCTAGAAGGGACCTTCCAAGATCACCAGGTCCAGCTCTCTGCCCCAAGGGCAGGAAGCCAGCTGTGGTCAGATGACCCCAGCAAGATAAGCGTCCAGGCGTTTCTTGAAGGTATCCAGAGTAGGTGTTTGCACCACTTCTGGGGGGAGTCTATTCCAGACTCTGGAGACTCAGATGGGAAAGAAGTTTTTCCTTATGTCTAGTCTAAAATGGTCTTCCAGCAGTTTGTGACCGTTGGACCTTGTCTTCCCTTGGGGTTCCCTGGTGAACAGACGTTCTCCCAGTTCCCAATGCACATCCTTTATATACTTATAGGCTGCTACCAAGTCACCCCTGAGCCTGCGCTTCTCCAGGCTGAAAAGTCTCGTGCAGTATCATTACGAATGTACATTACGAATATATGGGATTGGCAACCACTCCCTCCTGGTCATTGGTTGTCTCAACACATCCATGCCCCCACCTAGTAAATACCAAATGTAATCACTAGAGGTAAGTTTGTTGCAAGCTGTTGGGCAAAATTATTCCTCTATTCAGATTCTTGCACTAACCCTCCATTTATTCTCATATCAAGGATCAGCTTCTTTGGGTCACCTTGCTCCTATCTGCTCAGCTCTTTCTTTTTTCTTTTCTTTGTTTTGAGCTTCTACCCCAGCTTCTGAGCCCCTGTATTGAATTGCTCCCATTTTATCTGACCCTGTGTTGAACTTACTATGAAACTATGATAAAAAGCAATGGCATAGAAAAACGATCAGATTTGTAGTTTTGCTTTCCCCTCACCTGTTTCATTAAGGACTAGGAGGTTCATGTATTCCTTGTCAGCCTTCTTTCCAACAGGAAGGAAATATAGAGCAGAAGTCAATTCCCAAGAATTTAGTACCTGCCACACCTCTATCAAGATCAGTTCCAAAATCAGAGGGAGTACAAAAATCAGATAGAGCAGTAATCTATATTGAAGAACAGATGGAGAGTTAGGGAAATTGTAAGGTAGCAACATCACACCTTCAATTAATACATTCCTTGTGACTTTACTTTTAGAACCTCTAATTTATCCACTATCAAGACAGGTTTTTAAAATTTGCAAGGAAGAAAATTTCCAAGACCTTTTCTTTGACCTGTGAAATACCATTTAGTCTAGGCTTAAATTTACACTTCGCTGTAAATCACCATTTTCTGTCTGTTATGTGTGTCCCTGAGAGGACATTTTCTGATGAAAATGGTGGCAACACACTCTGAGTTGCTCAATTAATGCTGGTCCTAAATTACTGCTGAAACAGCAGCAGCACAGACTGCACAACCTTGGAAGCAGGCAGCCTTTTCCAAGCCACCATGGAAAAAGGAAGAGCTGAGCAGTGGTTATATGACTGCTCATCCCTGGCTTCAACACATGGCCCAATTATCCTAAACCCCTTCCTTCAACACCCCCTGGGCAGGCACCTCTTCTCATGCACGTGCCCTCGGAAACGGGGACATTAGATAAGCACCTAACAACTCTAACAGCCCACTGGTTTTTCCCTCTTCTGAAGGCACCAGATGGAAAGAGTACCTCTCACCTCTTGAGTCTGGGGGAGAGCCAATAAAAACTTCCAAGAAGTCATAACTGCAACAATCACTAAACTGGTTGAGATTTTTTCACTATGTATAAGATTTTGCTGCCATAAAATAGTTTAGCTAACCTCCCTACGACCCCTCATTTTAAATTTTTTTTTAGAAACATTTGTTTGATAAATAGTATTGGAGAGGCCAACTAGGAGCCATGCTCTTCTTGATTGGCTGCTCACAAACAGGGAAGAATTGGTGGGGAATGTGGATGTGGATGGCATCTTGGGCAGTAGTGACCATGAGATAACTGTGTTCAGGATCCCGAGGAAAGGAAGGAAGGAGAGCTGCAGAATAAGGATGCTGACCTTCAGAAAAGCAGACTTCAACTCATGGTGGGAACTGATGGGTTAGGATCCCCTGGAAGGCCAGTCTGAGGGGGAAAGGAGTCCTGGAGAACTGGTTGTACTTTAAAGAAACCTTATTAAGGGCGCAAGAATGAACCAACCTCAGATGCAGGAAGACTAGCAAGTATGGCAGAAGACCAGCTTGGCTTAGCAGGAAACTCTTCAATGAGCTAAAACACAACAAAGGAAGCTTACAAGAGGAGGACGCTTGGACAAACAACTAGGGAGGAGTATGAGAGTATTGCATGGGCATGCAGGGATGAAATCAGGAAGGTCAAAGTGCAATTGGAGTTGAAATGAGCAAGAGACGTGAGAGGTAACAAGAAGGGCTTCTACAAGTACATAAACATGAAGAAGAAGATCGGGGAAAGTGCAAGTCCCTTACAGAACAGGCAACCTTGTGACAGAGGATGCAGAAAAGGCTGAAGTGCTCGATACCTTTTTTACCTCCATCTTTACAGGCAAGGTCAGCTCCCAGACTGCTGCACCTGGCAGCACAGACTGGGGAGGAGGGCAACAGCTGACAGTAGTAAGAGAAAAGGTTAGGGACCATTTAGAAAAACTGGATGCATAACAAATCCATGGTGCTGGATGGGATGCACATGTGGGTGTTGGGGAAGTCAGCTGATGTGACTGCAGAGTTGCTTGCCATTATCTCTGAAAGCTTGTGGCAGTTTGGAAAAGTCCCAGATTATTGGAAAAGGGCAAACATAGTGCCCATCTTTAATAAAGGGAAGAAGGAGGATCTGAGGAACTACAGACCTCAGTTCATGGAAAAATCATGAAGCAGGTCCTCAAGGAATCCATTTCTAAACACTTGGACAAGAACAGTCAGCATGGATTCACCAAGGGCAAATCATGCCTGACCAACCTAGTTGCCTTCTTTGATGAAACGACTGGCTCTGTGGGGAGAGCAGTGGATGTGGTATACCCTGACTTTAGCAAGGCTTTGATAGGTTTCCCACAACCTTCTCACGAGCAAGCTAAGGAAGTACAGGTAGGATGATGGATTGTAAGGTTGGTAGAAAGCTGGCTGGATCGTTGAGCTCAAAGGACTTGTATAATCAATGGCTTGATGTCTAGCTGGCAGCCAGTATCAAGTGAAGTGGTCTAGGGGTTGGTCCTATGGTTGGCCTTGTTCTGTATCTTCATCTAGAAGAAGGGATGGTGTGCACCCTCGGCAAGTTTGCAGATGGCACCAAGTTGGGCAGAGTAGTAGATACACTGGAGGTTCTTCTAAGATTCAGACTGACTTAGATAAATTGGAGGATTGGACCAAAAGATATCTCATGAAGTTCAATAAAGACAAAAGCAAAGTCCTGCATGTAGGACAGAAAAATCTCATACTCCAATAGACTGGGGACCAACCGACTGAGCCACAGTTCTGCAGAAAAGGCCATGGGAGTTATAGTGGACAATAAGCTTAATATGAGTCAACACTGTGCCCTTATTGCCAAGGGGGCTAACAGCATCCTGGGCTGCATTAGTAGGAGTGTTGCCATCAGATTGAGGGAAGTGATCATTCCCCTCTATTTGGCACCAAAGAGGCCACATCTGGAGTCCTGTGTCCAGTATTGGGCCCCCACTACACAAAGGATGTGGACAAACTGGAGAGGGCAACAAAAATAATTTGGGGGCTGGGGCACATGACTTATGAGGAAATGTGGAGGGAACTGGGCTTATATAGTCTGCAGAAAAGACTGAGGGGGGATTTAATACCAGCCTTCAACTATCTGAAGGGGGGCCCAAAGAGGATGGAGCTGGACTGTTCTCAGTGGTGACACATGACAAAACAAAGAGCAACAGTCTTCAGTTGCAGGAAGAGAAGTTTAGGTTCGATATTAGGAGACATTTTCTCATGGACAGTAGTGAAGCACTGGAAAGGGTTACCCAGACATTATGAAATCTCTGTCCATGGAGGTTTTTAAGACCCAGGTTGACAAAACCTTGGCTAGGTGATCTAGTTGGGGTTCTCCTGCTTTGAGCAAAGGGTTGGATTAGATGTGACCTCTTGAGGTCTCTTCCAACCCTCATTTTCTGTGACTCTATTTCACATGGTAGGACATGTACAGTAAAAAATAATTTAGTTGCCTAAAATGAAAAGAGTTACAATTTGAATGCTTATTTTTCCCATTTCCTGCTATTGAATGCAAATGAGTTCCTATACAGAGTTTTTTTCTTTTTTCTCATTTAATTTTTTCAAAATTTTAACATTGGAAAAGTTTGTTTCTAATACTGGAGAATTTTTGGTGGTGTAGAGTAGACAAGTTTAAAAAAGCTGGGAAAAGGATTACATTTAGATACCACTTGTTCTTTCTAGTCATTTGGATATATGGAAAAAGGTGATGCATTTACAATTTCTCAAGAAAAGTAAATTTTTTTTTTCAGAAGAATACTGGGATTTTTCCCAGCTCTAATTAGCGCAGCTCTTTATGTTGTGAGTATCTCAGATCAAAGTTGTTCCTTAAAACTAAAACCTAGTAGCTTGTATCCTTGGAACATAGCTATGAGACAAGGAAGTCCTGCTCCATGGACAGGTATCCTCTGAATGTGCCCTTAAACCAATCAGAAGCTCCATGGCACTTACAGGGTCCACAAGGTTTTATATGCCGTCTTAAGCTTTAGGAAGCGCATTCGTGCTATGGCACAGACTTGTTGCTTCCAGAGAGTTGTGCCGGTTACAGTTGCTTTTCCCATGTCTGAGAATGACAGAAGACCTTCTTCCACTTCATCGGCAGAGAAAGTCTCTCTTTCCTCTTCTGTCTGCCCACCTCCTACAGGGAGTTTTCAAAGGGCACAGTTTCACCATTGACATGGTTTTATATTACAGTAGAGTGGAAGAGATATCAATTATGATGAGCTCTACTAGCAATAAAACTCTTTAAACCCTTAAGAGACTATACAGAACCTCCATCACACCTACGAATTCTGTGTCCATTGATCTCTTCTGCTTTCCTCCTCCAGAGGTTTGCTGTCCCATGTAGATACTTTACAGACAGCTGGGTGATACCTGAATGTTAAGCATTAAGCAGAAGCCCTACAAAGAAGGGCGCTCACCTCCAGTTGATAATTGTTGAAGAATTGACCCAGACCTGCCTGGTACTAGAGTGAGCAAAGGGAAATGACTGCAAAAGGCAGGCCTCATTGGCACCTCAGTTGCGTTATGCTTTGGGCATTCTGGTTAAAATACAGTTGTTCCTCAGTTTGTATTTGTGCATCTCATTGCTCCCTCCTAAGCACAGTATTTTGCACTTTCTCTTCTTGAATTTTGCATTGTTTCTTTTAAAGCCTTGGATAGGTGTTGCTTATCAAGAACACCCTAACAGTGTAATTTAGCTTCTCAAGTTTTCATGAGGGAATCTGAGTTAGTGGTAATAATGGTTTTTTACAGAGAAAGTCCACAGGTCACTGAACCTGGCCCTTTTTGCCACTAATGGCACCTGGCAGAAGCAAACCCACATATACCCAATTTGCCTCATCATCCACTTGATATTTAATGATAGATCAGGGCTAAAACCATTCCTCTTTCTATATTCATTATACCTGGCTTTTAATTCTTATTTTAACCATTTTCATGAATGCAGTTCTATTGTAACTGTTCAAATAAATGCTCAATAGTTGGTTCTCTGTCTAAATATGACCAATAAAGGTAAAGATTTGTAGTTAGCTGAAAAAACCATGCAAGATTAGTATTTAAATCATCCCAATTTTGCCTGGCTGACAAGTGCATGATTGGGCCCAGTATTTTACCTTCTTGATCTTCACCTTCCAGTTTCATGAAGACATCTTCCAGGGTTGTCATGGTAACTCCATAATTAACAATTCCTTCATCGGAATGGCTGTCTAAGCCAAAGAACAGATCTACACAATAGTAAAAAACATATGTACCTTGAAGGCATAAGAAAACATATACATCTCTGGGCCAAATTCTGCTCTGAAATACAGGAGCACAGATCCAGCTAATTCCTTATACATACTGGTATACTGGAAGCAGAATTTGACCCCCTCTTGTACTTTTAGGGTAAAAATTTCACCAGAGAAAGACCTGTTATTCTTCACTTCTGCAAGAAGTTCATATTCCACTGAAACGAAAAGGCTCAAGAGAATAGTAACAAATTACCAGGTACTTCTTTCGATCAACCAAAGAGAGTTGACTTTCCAACTGGCATCATTATTCTACCTCCCCTAATGAGCTAGGTGCATGGGACTCCAACAATTAGCTATTGAGAAGAGAGAAGCACTAGGGGAGCTGTAGCCCAACAATGTTGTCCGTCTTAGAGAGCAAAATACGAATGCAAGGCTACATGAGCTACAGCTGGACATGAACTACAGCTTGGGGAGACCTCAATTCAGAATTTCCAAACTAAAATTCTAGATTTGTGATTTTGATTTTTTTCCAGCAGAAGTTAAACATTTTCATGGAAAATTAAGAGAAAAGCACATTCTTGGTTGAAAATTTCCGTAGGAAAAAAGTTCCCCTTCTGAGCTTAGGACTGCTCCTTTGCACCAAGTGTAAGGAGTTTTTTCAAGCACAAAACAGTGACAACACAATATTAACAGCTCCTATCTCCCAAAAATACAAATAATCAAGAAGTCAGAATTAGAAATTTCCCTACATGCATTCACATATGTGTGGGATTCATTCTTTGACAATACTTTCTCTATGGTAAAACACATAGTCAAACCCGATCTGAACATTTTTATTTTTGTCATTATTTTGAAATGTTACTCCTGTTGGCATTTTTCAGGTTCTGTATTTGGCTGCATCTATACATGCCAATGTGGTACGTGTAGGTTACCTTTACAGTACTACTTCACTTACTGGAAGAACAAAAAAGTTAAAGAATCATAAAATATCAGTACTTTCATAAGCTGAAAGAAAAATTAAGCTTTAAACAACACCCAAATAGGATCAAAGCTTGGACCCTGCTGTGATTTCCTCAACACTAACCCTTCAGAAAAAGTCATGTTAACTATTTGTGTCTGGTTTAATTATGCACTTTTTTAATGAATGGAAGAAAAGTACATGTTTTGAATTTAAATGTATAGACTAAAAGTTTGGAAAAAATTCTGAAACAAGACTCTCATGTCCCTAGGTAAAACTTTTGAGGGGATTCAAGAATCCTGTAGAATTTCTCTCTCTATATTTCTTTTTTATTCACTAAATTAATATTTTTGTACAATTGATTTTTGAGCATTTAAATATATAATTACCTGGAAATTTATCCACATTTTCCATTGGCAGAATATACCTTAGTTCATTTTCACTCTGTCCTGAGAATGTGGCATTAGGCACATACTCTCTGACCAGAGATGACATCCTCTCAGAGTCACAGTGCTCACTGACGTGCATCCTGTTCATATGGGAAATTTTAAAATAAAAAACCCATGATTTTCAGAATGTAGAAACCAGGCAATTAATAGGCAGTAAGCCAGGGTGCATGGGCAACACATAGGGAGTGCACACAAGTGCAAGTGCACCCCATGAGCATGACGGGGCACCGCCTGTGAAAAGGCACCGCAGACACTGCCAGCGGTCACTGCCTGCCAACCCCCACTCACCACCAGTCAGCGCTTACCACCACCCCTCCTGCCACCTCTGCCAGGACTGTGGCTGCCTGTGGGAGCTCGCCGTGCCCCCCAGCCTTGGGGGCACATGGCATTCATACTGTGGTGGTAAATTTCTGTGAGCTATCTACTCCACACTAAAGGCACAGACAGAAGTGCAGCTCCTGGGTCTAACTCTTGGCACTTCACAGGCAGTGCCATGAGTTAGACCAATGTAACAGATGTTAGCTTTTGGGTCAGGAGGACTGGAGATGGAGCTCCAGTTTAGAGCTGACCCAGGAAGAGAGGCTGCATCTCTGCAGACCCTTCCCCTAACTTTGCCCACCCTCTCCCAGCTTCTGTTCTGTCTCAGAATGGGAGGAGGAGAAAGCAGGGAGGCAGGTCTGTTCTGGGGTTTCCCCAGCTGTGCTGCAGTGGGGGAAGGGGTGTGTGGACAGGAGCCCCCCACATCGGGAAGCTCCAATCCACATGCCCCACTCCACAAAGCCAGCTGGGCAACACCCAGAACAAGTTTTCTCTGTTCTCTTCTCTCCCTTCCATTCTGAAACAGTGCTGGGAGCCAAGCAGGGGCAGTGTTAGCTGAGTCCTGCTCTCGGTGTGCACAGACACAAGTTAATGAAGGTACTTCACTTTGGACAACTTAATCAAGGCGCTACACAGGATGGGGCCCTTTTAAAGAGCTCTCCAGCTGTGCACTTATGTTTGTTCATGGCTGTAGAGTGTTTTCAGGGGTCAGACTGGGCAAAAATTGTCACTGGTGCAAAGCCCACCTGCTTGCCCCAGGCTGGAGGCTGCACTCTTCCTCCCCTTCCCCCCTGCCCTGCCCAGCTATTTTTAGCCCCGACTCTTTTACCCTGGATGGATTACTACCCTCCTGCACAGATGCACCAACCTCTCTGCAGATCCACCAGCACCCCATATCCTGCCAACTCCCTGCCATGGACTCACTAGCCTCTCTCCATTCCCCAACTCACTTTGAATGGGCTCCCAGTGCAGCTCCCAGCACTAGTAAACTTGAGCACAAGCTGGGCCAGAGCTATAATCACATGGCTTAAAGTAAGCTGCGTGATCATAGATCAGGTACTGTGAACATTTGCTTGTATCCTCAGTTATTCTGTTCTCGTAATACAAGCCATCCTAAAACTTTGTTGGGAAGGGTGGCGTATATTGGTATTCAATCAGTCAACCAATAATGTTATCAGTATGCCATCAATAAATATGGAGTTTTTATCATCATTCCTTTTAAATTTTTCCAAGAGGCATTTACTGTTTACACCCCCAGATATTGCTTGCTATGACTGAGCTAACTCTACGTTGCTACCGAGATACCAATTTAAAACCACAAGGAAAATATGCAAAAAATATACCTTAAGTGATAGCCAATCCCCCATTTTTTCTTTAAAAAGAGAGATGAGCCAACACACTTTATCTTTCCACAGGAGATAAAAGCCTTGCGGTCTACAGAGAAAGAAAGCCAAAATAAATTCTGCTTTAGGGGTTATTAAGAAGGCATTTGTAAGCAAAATGGAAAGTATTGTGTCCTTTTATAAATCCATGGTGTGTCTATACCTTGAATACTGGGCCCAGGTTTGGTTCCCATACCTCAGAAAGGATATAGAAAAACTAGAGAAGGTACAAACATGCAGAGCCAGCCTTGGGGGTGGGCAACGTGGACGACCAGGATGCTGTGGTCAGGGGATGCCCCCCACACACACACACACACACACACACACACACACAGAGCAGCGCTCTACCTTCACCCTGCCCCACACCAGCTGATCCCTGTGCCCCCCTCTACTCAGGATGGGCTGGGCCAGGCATTATGGGCAACTCCACCTCCCCACAAACAGCCCTGCACTCCTGCCTGCCTCTGCCTACAGCAGTGCTGCTGACTTGTGGGAGGGTTTTGGGCGGGCATCAAAATACAAGTTTGCTTAGGGCATCATTTTCTCTAAAGCTGGCTCTGCAGATATGGGCCACAAGGATGATTTCTGGTATGGAGGAGCCATACCATATGAGAAGAGACTAAAGAGGCTACGTTTGTTCAGTTTAGAAAAGAGAGGCTTTAGGGGCATCATGATAAGGGTTTACAAAATACTCAATAGTGAAGAGAAAGTAAATAGGGATTTATTCCTTATTATCTCTCACACTACAAGAACTAGGGGTCACACAATGAAACCATTGAGTAGTAAGACCAAAACTAACAAAAAAAGTTTGTTTTCACACAGCATGTAATTAAATTATGGAACTCACTGCCACAAGATGACGTGGAAGCTGACAGTTTAGCCAAATTCAAAAAGGGATTGGACAAACTGTTGGTGGAAAGGTGCATTGGCAGCTATCAGTGCATTGGTACAGCCTCTGAATCAAAAATTCCTAGACCCTAAATGCTGGAGACTACAAGTTAGAGAGGAACAGGGGAAAAACCCTGGTCATACCCAGTTCACTCTTCCTTTCAGCTTCCATTCTGCCACTGGGGCTGGGCAAGATGGACCTATGGTCTGATCCAGCAAATGACAGTTGTTATTTTCTACGTTTACAGGTTACTTACTGAGATGAATAATTGAGAAAAATTGAAATAATCAATACACTGAAAAGGACTGTATAATATACAGTATATAAATGTTAATTTAATATGTGTTTCATAATAGTTGATTTTATGAATAGGGCTTGTCCCACTGAGTTTGGAAAAATAACTAATCAGGAAGTAGCTTTCAAACATGGGCAACTGGTGCCTCCTGAGTTGGGGAGGGCACTTGCCCCCCCCCCCCCCCCCCCCAAAACCC